AAGGGTCCAGACCCGACATGTCAGCTTTCCTGCTCCTCTGATGCTGCTTGGCCTGTTGTGTTCATCCAGCTCTACACTTTGTTATCTCAGGTTCTCCAGCATCGGCAGTTCCCACTATCTCTGAATCAGTAGGATTAAACAAATCTTTTACTAAGTGACTAGTGGGGTACCAGAGGGACCAATGCTTGGACTCCATTCACAATATATATGAACGAATAAGATGAGGGAACTAAATTTCATATCTCCAAGTTTGCAAACTCAAACTTGTCAATCTGAAAATCCAATGCAACTTGACTTGGCTGGGACAACATTCAGAACTGCTAGGATATCCCAAGCACCCAAAAAGGTAATAAATAAGCATGGGCACAGCTGAATTCCACTGAAACCCTGATCTATAGTAAAGATGAAAAAAAATTTAACTGCAATTCAATAGAATACCAGCACCACGTTATTGACCAGCACCACGTTATTGACCAGCACCACGTTAGGATATATCAGGCACTGATATACTAGGTGAAGAACAAAATACAGTTTAGAAAAACCTAAGGAAACACGATGCAGCGAGGATGCTTCCACCGGCAGGGGCTTCTAGAACGAGGGGTTCACAATCTCAGGTACGGATAGGCCGTTTAGTACTGAGATGAGGAAAAATATCTTAATTCAAAAGACAGTGAACCAGTGTAATTCTCTACGTCAGAAAGCTGTGGAGGCCAAGTCACTGAATATTTTGAAGGAAGAGATAGTTTTTTTTATTTTAAAGGCATATTAAATGGGGAGAAAGCAGGAATATGGCATTGAAATAGAGGATCAACCATGATCATATTGAATGGCAGAGCAGGCTTCAAGGGATTACACCAGCTCCTAGTTTAATTATATGAAAAAACAACTTCTGAAACGGAACTACAGAATACTTTCCTTAATCAACATAAGTTAAATACCTGTGTCAGCATTACTTTTTCTTTCTCATATTATTCTAGTGTCTAACGTGTGCACGGAAAAGAATTTCAATTTATTCAATAGATTAACAGTGAAATTAATCCTGATGAACACACCTATACTCTGTGCCTAATGTTTCAGCAGTGATAAATCCTTTCTATAAGCTTACCTAATGTGGATGAGGCTGTTTCCACCAAATTCAAGTCAATTTCTTCAGCCACAGATCTGGAATAATACATTACAATTAAACTTTTACATTTAACTCATCATTCTGCCACCTCAACATAGCAATCAGATTATTGCCTGGTTCTAATATAATTAATCAAGATTCCACAACATAGAGATTCTAGTGAACAGATTGCATCTGTTCCAATTGCACTGGCCTGAATGGTTTTCTAACAAAACACAAAACTTGAAACTTAAGTGACCAAGGTCACTCAATTTAATACAGTAGCAAACTGTATTGTTGGCATCAAACAATGAAGGAAAGTTCATTATTGATAGTTTGCTAGTTAAGAGGCTGTACAAAGCTTTTATATACATGTACTCCACGCTGGAAATGATTGATCAGTAAACAATTGTCATCAAGTATAGCACAACATGCAAAGTTAAGACAGCAATAAAATGCCAATCTATTTGAGATAATTACATTCTTTATCAATTAAAATTCAATTTCCACAAACACTTTTGACTCTGATTTTATTCGTTCTTTGCACCATGCACCATTCAAGGGAGGATAAGTAGATTGCTTATTTCTCAGCTTCCACCTAATCTTGTTCTTGAATCAGACATCCAGGAAGTGCATAGAAGGACACAAAATGCAACTTCAATCAAGTACTTCTATCTGACATTAGGGCTGGGATTGTAGACCTATTATTGGGACAGTAAGGAGCACCAACACACTGCTCTATCAAAAACATTTTTTTAAAAAATCCTCAAATACACTCAGGCTTATTAACTAACAACAATCTAAATGCATCTTATTCTCTCAGAAGTACAACTGTATCATCGGTTCCACGATAAACTAGAACACAAGAACATTTGGAAATTAACAATGTACTTAAAAATCTCCCTACAACAAAGGTACAAAGTGTTGGAAATCACAATGTCTTCTCCCACAGAACACTATGATATGGACACATTTTCTCAACACTGCACATATTGAATTCCCAAGCTCAATCATTCATTCTGTGATAAGCACAGTGAGAAAGAGAAACAGGAAAAGGGGAGCAGCAGGGAAGAGGTCAGGTGGGGGGAGCAGGCAGGAGAAGAGATAGAGCACAAGAACAACGAAAGGTTGGGGGCAGGGGAAAGTGGACGTGAGAGACATGAGGCGGGGGGCAGATTCGAGTGGGGGGTGTAGACAAGAGGGCGTGAGCAAGGGAGTGCAAGAGAGAAAGATTTAGTGTTGCCCAGGAGGATTTTGGAGCACTATAACTTTCAACAAAAAGGCAAATGAAAAAATATCTCTCTGCAAACAATCTGGTAAACTGAATATTTGCGATGCAAAATGTGAATCTGAATACTAAAACTGCTGTGTTTGTGCAGATCCTGAAATTTCAATGCAGCCACAAAGCAGTTCCAGGTACTGGAACCAAAAATTTACAGCAGCTCTAGACCAAAAAAGATTTTCATGAGTCTGATTGGATCTTTTCAAAAATCAGATGCATCAGGGGAAAATTAAGCCATTCTTCTTCTTTCTTCCATTTGCTTAGTTCAAGCAGCTAGGAATTAAGTCTCAAAGAGTAAATTTAAAACCTTCAATCATTATTGTAAAAGGACCTCCTGAAAATTAAGTGAGATGCCCCAAAAATACTGTTGTTTTCTTCCCTAACTTCAGCACAAATCATATGCATTAATATCCAGCACTTTTCCTACCCAACTTTATTGTACCTTGGGTTAAGTGCTTCAGAAACGGCACTGGTTTCTTCTTTTGTTTCTTCTTCCTTTGGCTTTTCCTCTGTAACTGTACTAGAAGAATCAGACGTCGGAACAATAGCTGGTGGTGAGGCAGGGGCAATAGATGTGGCACCTGAGGTTGGGCTAGGGTTAGAGTTGGAAGTTTGACTTGAAGGTGAAATTGAATCTGCAATTAAGCTTGGAACTGCAGTTGAAGCTGGAGCCGTAGCTGAAGTTGTAGTTGAGGTGGACGCAGCTGAAGCGGTACTCACTGAAGCAGGCACTGGAGCTGGCTGTGTTGTTGGTTGTGCAGGCACAGGAGCTGCTTTAGGCTGTTTTCAAAGAAGAAAAAGTTAAGCACTAATGTGGGGTGAGGTCAGCTGCACTGAATAATAGTAAAACAAACAAGACTGCTGAGTACCTCAGCACATCCAACCAAGTCAAAAACTTTATGCCAGTCTCAAACAATAATCACACATAGGCTTCTTTGAGTTGATACTGACAGCTCCTCTTCCTGTACTATGCAAGGACACCTTCCAGTAGATCCCAAAGATGATTATGGGTTAGTCCATCCCAAACTGTAGAAGGGTCAAAGCAAAGTTGTTTGTCTCTTTTTCAGGACAAGGATTGGTTTCAATCAAATAACATTTGTTTCATAACTGCCTCACTACAACTTCCACTTTGTTGCCAGAATGAACACTTTGCATACATAATGATAGTCACATGAAAAGGTCCTATCCCAGCAGTATAATTTTAAAGAGAGCAGCCTGTCTAAATATTGAAATATTGCAGAAAGCCTCATGCTGACTCCAAAACAGCACCAAAACGGTTTTGGAGCAATTAACCTGCCTTTTCAACAATAAAAGGAAAGAGGCCATAGATGGCAAGAAGGAATAAAAATCAACAGCAATTTATTGCCCTAAAAAAAAAGGAAGGAGGAAACAGACATGGAATGCTATTTTTGGATCGATTGCTACATTTCAGCACATAATTATGATAAGGGTTAAGGTAAATTCTGTTGTTTTAATTTTTTCTTTAGAAACCATTGTTGAGGCCATGGAAAAATCAGCAGCTATTTTTAGAACTTACAAACCTCTATTTGAGGCAACAAGTAACTAGTCACATTTTACAAATTATTGAATCTTGCAGTCTCAAAATTGAAGTTACTTACAAGAGGTACAGGCAACAAGAACAAAACACTGAAAATTGTCAACTAAAAGACTTCTGAAAACCTAAACATGGGCATATGGGGTTAAAAAAAAAATTCCATGTAAAAATTTTGTTTGCTCAAGTCCAGACAAAATGTACTTTAGTCAACTGGGGCTCTGAAGTACATGCTATTTTAGTTCTGGGTTTGAAGGCCTTTATTTTCAACAAAAAACAACAGATTGACATTTGGTGATTATCACAAATTAGGAGATTCCAACTCCCAAACACAGACGTGTGGTTTCTTTGAGATGCATTTAATATTATGTGAGATCAGTGCTCATGGCACAGCTCTCAACCTGCAGTTCGCAAAAAGAATTGACTTAAAAAAGACCCAAGACCCTCATTGTGGGAACTGGTAACTTAGTATGACACTTAGCCCAATGTAAAAGCCATTGAATTCAATTGCAACTTATTAATTATCAATTTAATTTGTACTAAATCCATAGCGAAATGTGAACTTAGTTGATCTGAATGGCTGCTTCCAAGAAATCAAGTGATACTAACACATGATGATCAGTTGGGGTGAATTTTTTTGGGAAGGTCAAGAGAGGTGGAATTGAAAGTCCCAATAAAATGAAGGTTTGAAGGCATTTTACAAAACAGAGATTTTTGCCAGCACACATGATAGAATAAAACCACAAAATAATGAGAGATTTTCTCCCAACTCCTCCTAACGAGCTTGCCCACTCATCTGTTGACTAACCAAATGCAACTAATTCTTCTTCTACGTGCTTTATTTCTTCCCTCAGTTTCATCACTCTGAGCAGTAACTTTGCAAAGACTGAAGGCCTGCTGTCAAGTGCATGCTAATACGGTTCTTAGTGAGTGTCACAAAGAATGCTTGAAGTGATTCCCAGCACAATCATAACATTCTTTAACACATTTTAAAAAGATGAAACACTGAGCATTTTCCACTGCAATATAGTAAAAGCAATCAGGAATAGGGAGTGACAGCTGCAGAGCATTTCCCAAACATGTTCCAGAGGAAATATCAGTAAAAGCTGCAGTCACCATCCACATGCCTAGACATAAAAGAACAGCTGCATAGCAGCATTCAGTTAACGGCTCACATCCTCCTGACTGTCCCTAAAAAAATCCATTCTTTTCCAAATGCAAGTAAAAAAGGGACATTAGTAAACCAGAGGGGTCTTTCCTGAGAATCAACAAGGGTTTCATGGTCATCACGGGACTCTTAATTCCAGATTTTTATTACCTGCAAATTCCACCCTCTGCCACAGCAGGATTTGAACCCAGGTCCTCAGAATATTATCAGAGTGCATGGATTGATGGTCTAGCAATAATACCACTAGGCCATCACCTCATCTATATATGGCTAGATTCTCTCCTGTTGGAGATTATCATTACCTGGCATTTTTGTGGCACAGATGTTATTTGAAAACCTGTCAGCCCAATTCTAGATATTGCAATGATCGCAGTGCATTTAGACATAGAATGCTTCAGTATCTGAGGAGTCACAATTATTAGCGAATATCCCTACTTCTGATCTTATGATGGAGGAAAGGTAATACACAAAGCAGCTAAAGATGAGTGGGTATGGGACACTATCTGAGGACGACCTACAGAGATGTCTCAGAGATGAAATGGCTGCCTCCAAGAACCACAACCATCTTGCTTTGTGCCAGATATACTAGAGATTTGACCCCTTAATTTTCATGGACTCCAGTTTTGCTCAGGCTCCTTGGTACCACAGTTGGTCAAATGCGGACTTGATGTCAAGGGCAGTTACATCTAAATTCCCGCCTCTTATTCCAGAGTTTATTTTCTGTTTCTCTTTTACCATCAAGAAAATGGATGTGATGTTCCCTACCCCTCCTTACCCAGGATTCTGACCAATCTTCCGAGGTCATTCTTGGCAGTTTCCACGCCTTTCAGGCCCTCCATATCACTTAGTTAAAACCAGCATTCACTCCCAGTCTCTCTCTCACCTTGGCTACCCATTTTTGTCATAATACTCCTCCATCAGTGCTGAGTACCTGTTGCATCTAAGGTGCTGTATTGCAGGAAAAAGTAGGAAAGAATATTGCCAGCTCTGCAAATATGTGCACAATGCCAAACAATCGACGGCTATCATTTCAAGTTTACCCACGAGGTGCAGAACCAAGGCACAATGCTTAACCCAGAACACAATTTCACTCTCACTGCAAAAATCCTAGTCCATGCCTTCATCATCTGAAACTTGACATCTTCTTTGCACTACCTGCAGGCTTTAGTGCTTCTATCATCCACAAGCAATTCATTCTGAATTGCATCATTCACATGCTCATGGACAAAGTTACAGGGAGCATTATTTTTAAAAAAACCCTTGAAGCTCCATCCTTGGAAATGTCTCTCTCCTTAATGATAGATTTTCAAACTGTTACATGTACTCTCAGCTTCTCGGTCATCATCCTGTGCCTGTTTCTTGCCAATAAGAACAGTTCCTTAAGAGCCCCACACACATTAGAATCCGTTCCCTCTGCCTTATCGCCTCACTCCCTACTTTTTGAAAATAGTTAATAGTTTTATCAGACTGTCCACCACCCAACTGAATAAGGAGATGGCTTTTGCAGGTGAGGAAATCTGTCAAAATGAAGTTACTAGTTCATCGCCACATTCACTTCCTCTAAAATAGAATGCAACTTACAAAATATAAGTCCACCATACCCTTAAAACACAAATGAGTCATGATTATACATGCTCCAGCATTCAGATCCTACCTCAGTCACTTACCTTGGTTACCATAACTACTACAAAGTTCTTCTCATCAATTTTGTAATCTTTAAGTTGTGTGTCATCATTGAGGATCTTTCCTGTAATAAACAAAGAAGTTAACTTGAATCTTTATGGATACACATTACAGAATCAAGGAACACAATTCTCCTTTTGAAAGGATAACTGTTAGATATAACTGCCCAACTATGAAGAGTCATATTCAAAGTATATGCCTACAAGTAGAGAGCTGAAGTCAAAAAGGATCAACAGTGCATAACTATACTGAGGTAGTCACACATTAACATGGTGATTATATTGGTGGATGTGCAATGGAGAGTGCTAAGTTTTTTGGCATTTTTGTTTTTGGAGAAATACAACCGTGGAGTGGCAGAAGCGGGTGGTGTGGTTAAGATTGAGGGGGAAAATACCAGGGTGTGGAAGAAGGAAGGGGTTCAGAGTGTGCAAATGTGAGGGATTGGTCTCAGGGTCCACAGTTTCTTCTTCCACACATAGACCCCCTCTCCATCTTTGCCTCCTACTCATGCGTCCTCACTCAGTCCTCTACCTCTTTCACCCAACCCCACAGCATTCCTCAGGAATGAATGGGTTCAGAAGCTTGCTCCACCAGTATCGACTGATGTCCTTCAAGAGGCTGGCACGTGCACAGGAAGGAGAAGGTCTTGTCTTTCCCCAACTTGGATCCTATTTCTCCTCTACACCCCCATACTTTGCAGTACCATGCCATCCCATGTCCGCAGCAAACTGACCACTTCCACTCTCAGTGCAGCACATTGGTCCAAGTGAAACTACTGAATTAGTCTCTGCTGGAAGAGCAGCAAATGCTAAGAGAAATGGCCTCCAATTAGATGAGCACCACCTTGTATTTCCTGTTCTTGGAACCACAATAGCAGGAAGTTAGGAATCATTTTCTTAAACATTATAGAAAAGCCCTGGGCAGCTAAGCCTGGAAAGCAATCCTATGCGTAACATCTTGAGAATGATATATTGGTCTTGCAGAGATCACAGGGCAAATTTACAAAAATGATACCTAAATTCCGTGGATTAAATTGGTAGAGTTTTAAAATCCTGTGCTGTATTTTATAACATTTAAATAATCAGAAGAAATTTGATTCAAGTTTTAAAGATGTTAAAGGGAACAGAGAGGGTAGGTAGAAAAAAAAAATATTTCCATTTGCTGGCAAGTCTAAAAATTAGAACCAGACCGTTCAGGAACAAAATCAGGAAACACTTCTACATGAGAAAGTCAGCAGAAATTTTGAACTTTTCAACAAAGAGTGATCAACTGTTAATTTTAAAACTGGGACTGGCAGACTTTTTAAATCTGAAATTAGAGGGATAGGCAAAGGGATACGAGGCAAATGCTGGTGTAGTGAATAGGTCACAGATCAGCCATAATCACATTGAATGGGAAGAGCAAGTTCTAGAGGCTAAATAGCCCATGCCTTTCTCCACAATCTTAACTTCACCTGAATGCGCCTTGCGGGTACCTGAAATGATAGAGTCTTTAAGCTTAAAATGTCTTGAGGAACTCCATAAGTTGCACCTTACCTGCATAGATTAGCTTTTGCCCAGCAGCTGGAAAAGCATCGCTTCCTTTTTCTGCTTCAATCTTTTCCTTCAACGCCTTTACCTGGAGGATAAAGGACAGAAGTCAGCGTGCTCCCAATATGCAAGGTATCGTAACTACAGAGTCACAGGATCTGTCTTCATGCTGTACAGACCTTCGGTCCAACTTGTCCGCGCAACCAGATATTAGTCTCGTCTCATCTGCCAGCATTTGGCCCATATCCCTCTAAACCCTTCCTATTCTTATACCCATCCAGATGCCTCTTAAATGTTGTAATTGTACCAGTCTCAACCACTTCCTCTAGCAGCTCATTCCATACACACACCACCCTCTGCATGAAAACGTTGCCCCTTGGGTCCCTTTTAAATCTTTCCCCTCTCACCTTAAACCCATGCCCTTTAGTTTTGGATTCCGCTACCCTGGGGAAAAGACCTTGACTATTCACCTTATCAATGCCCTTCACGATTTTATAAATCTTCTATAAGGTCACCCCTCAGCTTCTGACGCTCCAGGGAAAATAACCCCAGCTTCTTCAGCCTCTTCTTGTAGGTCAAATCCTCCAACCCCGGCAACATCTTTGTAAATCTTTCTGAACCCATTCAAGTTTCACAACATCCTTCCTATAGCAGGGAGATCAGAACTGCAAGCAGTATTCCAAATGTGGCCTAACCAATGTCATGTACAGCTGCAAAGTCAGCTCCCAACTCCTATACTCAATGCACTGACCAATAAAGGCCAAATGCCTTCTTCACTATCCTGTCCACCTGCGACTCTACTTGCGAGGAACTACGAACCTGCACTCCAAGGTCTCATGTTCAGCAACACTCCCCATTAAGAGTACAAGTCCTGCCCTGGTTTGCCTTTCCAAAATGCAGCACCTCACATTGATCTAAATTAAACTCCATCTGCCACCCCTCAACCTACCGGCCCATCTGGTCAAGTCTCATTATATTGAGGTAACCTTCTTCGCTGTCTACTACACCACCAATTTTAGCATCATCTGCAAACTTACTAATCAGACCTATGTTCACATCCAAATTATTTACATAAATGAAAAAAGCAGTGGACCCAGTACCGATCCTTGCGGCACACCACTGGTCACAGGCCTCTAGTCTGAAAATAAACCCTCCCACCACCACCCTCTGTCTTCTACCTTCCAGCCAGTTCTGTATTCAAGTAACTAGCTCTCCCTTTATTCTATGTGATCTGACCTTGCTAACCTGTCTACCTCGAATGCCGTATTGAAGTCCACACAGATCATGTCTACTGCTCTGCCCTCATCAATCCTCTTTGTTACTTCCTCAATAAACTCAATCAAGTTAGTCAGACACGATTTCCCACACACGAAGCCATGTTGACAATCCCTAATCAGTCCAAATACATGTAAACCCTGCCCCTCAGGATTCTCTCCAATAACATGCCCACCACTGCTGTCAGACTCACTGGTCTATAGTTCGCTGGCTTTTCCTTACCACCTTTCTGAAATAGTGGCACCACATAAGCCAACCTCCAGTCTTCTAGCACCTTACCTGTGGCTATCAATGATACAATTATCTCAGCAAGGGGCCCATCAATCTCTTCCCTAGCTTCCCACAAAGTTCTAGGGCAAATGTGATCAAGTCCCAGGGGCTTATCCACCTAGATGCATTTTAAGATGCCCAGTACCATCTCCTCTGTAATATGAGATAACAAGGTGTAGAGCTGGATGAACACAGCAGGCCAAGCAGCAGAGGAGCAGGAAAGCTGACGTTTCAGGCCTAGACCCTTCTTCAGAAAATCCTAAATAATATGGGCATTTTTCAAGATGTCACTATTTATTTCCCCAAGTTCTCAAGCTTCCATAGCCTTCTCCACAGTAAATACTGATGCAAAATACTCATTTAGTATTCCCCCCAATCTCCTGGTTCCACACAGACAGCTTTGCTGATTTTTAAGGGGCCCTATTCTAGTTACCCTTTTGTCCTTTATGTATTTGTAGAATCCCTTTGGATTCTCCTTAACCCTATTTGCCAAAGCTATCCTGATTTACCTCAAGTATACTTCTCCAGTTTTTATACTCTAAGGATTCACTCAATTCCTGCTGTCCATACCTGATATACACTTCCTTCTCTTTCTTGAACCAAAATCTCAATATTTCTAGTCATCCAGCATTTCCTACACCTACCACCCTTGCCCTACAAGGAACATACTGTCTCTGGACTCTCGTTATCTCATTTTTGAAGGCATCCCAGTTTCCAGCCGTCCTTTTACCTGTGAATATCCACACCCAATCAACTTTAGAACCATCTTGCCTAATACCGTCAAAATTGGCTTTCCTCCAATTTAGAACTTTAACATTTAGATCTGGCCTACCCTCTTCCATCACTATTTTGAATCATAATAGAATCATGACCACTGGCCCCAAAGTGCTCCCCCACTGACACCTCAGTCACTTTCCTGGCCTTATTTCCCAAGAGTAGGTCAGGTTTTGCTCTTTCACAGTGAAAATTTTCTTGTGCACTCTTAAATTCCTCTCCAAGCCCATAACACTATGGCAGTCCCAGTCAATGTTTGGAAAATTAAAAGCCCCTACTACTACCACCCTGTTATTCATACAGATAACTGAGATTTCCTTAAAAACTTGCTTGTCAATTCCCCAAAGACTATGGGGGAGTGGGCATGGTGGTGGTGGTTGTTTGGTACAATCCCAACAAGGTGATCATCGCTTTCTTATTTCTCAGTTCCAACCAAGTAACTTTCCAGGACGTACTCCCTGGAATATCCTCCCTCAATACAGCCATAATGTTATCCCTAATCAATTGAAACAATCCATTAAATATAAGATTCTGATTTACTCTTTGCAGCAAATGAGGAGGATGCTAGTCAGAATAGAAAGCAGAAAGAAAAGGGGAAGAGAACAAGATACCAAATGATAGGGGTGAAATCAGTGAATTGCAAGGGGAGACAGCAAAGGAAAAGGGCCAAGGGAGTAACACCACTAAAAAAAACTCCAAAATCCACATTCTAAACCAGCAATGGATGATGTAATCTTAAGTGCCTTCTTGAGCTTACAAGCTCTTGGTTCTCTAACTTTTATCATCTGCTCTGCTTCAAAGCCAGCTACACAAAGACCTCGTCATTATTGACAATCCAGTTTCACCAATGTGTTCCCTTCCCAGCTATTGCAATCAAAGTTGTTCTTCAAGTCAGCTTTTAGGGCATTTCTGAATCATTTCCATTGGCTGACTTGTGATCTCTGAATAGTCAAAAGCTGGACACAGGCAGCACACTTTGAAAGGAGAATAATGTTTGGTTTTCTGATGCAGTGGTCTGTGTTGAGTGAAAGTGTCAAGTGAAAATGGTTGCATGCTCGCTGGAAGATCCTTAAGTTTGTACAGTGGTCAATCCGGATTATGCATAGAATCTTACTTAGGCAACGCTGATGGTACCAACAGTTTTCTCATGTCACCTACGTTTTGCACACACACTTCAGAACCGTCGGGAGGCCAACAGACTCAAACATTTACTTCTGCACCTTATAATTCGTGAAGCCTCACTTGAGCAGCTTTCCAAAGTTGTAGTTTGTGCATAGGATCAAGTGCACAATCTCAGAGTCCATGATTGCTGACTGGGATATGAGATTACGAGTTGACACTTGATTTTTCAAAGTCTCGTGCCATCCTGGCATGTCCTTCTACCAGGGTTGATCCCCGACTCAGTAGTAATGGTGGGCAATATTCCAAGCCACAAGGTTTCAGACTGTATTAGAGTACAAATCTACAGTTCCTTCCTGATGGCTCATATTGCCTAATACATGCCAAACCACACTCACTGATGGAAATTAATGCCCCACTGCCCAGAATACATTCTGCACCCTTACCACCCTCACTGCGTCCTACATGTGGTGTTCAACATTAGGGTACAGTAGTAATCTGCAGGAGGTTTCCTTATCTGAAGTACAAAGGCAAATGTTGAGGATTCCCAGGGCAACTCCTGCAGAATGGGTAAGAGGGTCAATCCATGGCTTACAAAGGAAATTAGAAATAGTATCTAATCCAAGGAAGAAGCGTACAGATTGGCCAAAAAGAAAAGTCTCTGAGGATTGGGAGCAGTTTAGAATTCAAAGGACCAAGGGATTGATTAAGAAGGGGAAAATACAGTACAAAAGCAAGCTCGCACGGAACGTAAAGACTGACACTAAGAGTTTCTATAGGTACATGAAGAGAAAGAGATTAGCAAAGACAAATGTAGGTCCCGTACAGACATAAATGAGGGAATGTATAATAGGGGACAAAGAAATGGCTGAGCAACTAAATGCATACTTTGGTTCTGTCTTCACAAAGGAGGACACAAATCAGATACCAGAAATGTTGGAGAAGGTAAGATTTAGTGAGAGGGAGGAATTGAGGGAGATCAATATTAGTAGAAAAATGGTGCTGGGAAAATTGATAGGATTGAAGGCGGATAAATCCCCAGAGCCTGATAATGTACATCCCATGGTACTTAAGGAAGCGGCTCTAGAAATAGTGTATGCATTAGTGGTGATTGGAGGGTAGCTAATGTCACTCTGGTATTCAAAAAGGAGATAGAGAGAAAACAGGTAATTATAGACCAGTAAGCCTAACATCGGTAGTGGGGAAAATTCTCGAATCCATTATCAAGAACTTTATAGCAGAGCACTTGGAAAGCAGTGGCAGGATCAGACAGAGTCAGTATGAAGGTGAAATCATGCTCGGCAAATCTGTTGGAATTCTATGAAGATATAACAGGTAGAGTTGACAAGGGGGAGCCGGTTGATGTGGTACATTTGGACTTTCAGAAAACATTTGACAAAGTCTCACGTAAGAGATTAATGTGCAAGATTAAAGTGCATGGGATTGGGGGAAGTGTGTTGAGATGGACAGAAAACTGGTTGGCAGAAAGGAAACAAAAAGTGTAGGATTTAATGGGTCCTTTTCAATGTGGCATGCAGTAGGGATTGGTGCTGGGACCCCAGCTATTCACCATACATACATATTAATGATTTGGTTGGGGGAACAAAATGTAACATCTCCAAGTTTGCAGATGATACCGTTGGGTGCGAG